TATTGCAGAACGCAAGGAAATTTATGGAGCTATTTCAGCTGTATTTGTAGAGGGACTAATGCTCTATGTTCGAAACATAACAGCTTCTTTATCAACCTACTGTAGCGTGAAAACAACCGTTCGAATATTGATAGTGTACGATGATTCGTGTTTTACTCTAAGTATTATGGAAGTCTCTATTAGCTCGAATGACCTGCTGAATCCTTGTTTGCTTGATCACTGGATCTCGTTGTGCTGTAAAACATGGCGGCCTATAGTTCTGACTTTAAACACCTTTTCTCCAATCTGGGGCAGAGTTAGTAAGTGTTATTTGGTTAGAAGAAGGATATTATTGTGTTACATGGTCTGTAACTACTAGCTTTCCACTGCAGTTTTATAAAATATAAATATATCCATTTTTTAGTTTGTTTATGGTCTGTTTTGTAAACACCTTTTCTGGAAAACTATGCTATTTGAAGAGGTATCATTTTGTATGAGTCTACGTACATGCCTTTTGTACGGTTTGTATATTTTCATAATTATTTTAAAGCTATGTTTCTTTGAAAAAAGTTACTTAATGTCATTGTGATATACCATATTAGAATGATAAAGCTATTATTATAATATTTTTTTGATGATCAAATAGGGTATGAAAATGAAACCAATGAAGCTAAATTGTCTGTTGTTTCTTGTACTGACTCTTTTCAGAAGAAATATAGATTTTTATGAAGTTTTTTATAATTATTGATTTTGCCACCATTTTGGTTGCTAAGCGTATCTAGGGAAAACGTCACATCCGGCGAAAAGAGCATAGGCACATCCTGTTTTGTATCCACTTGGTATATATAGTATCTATGGTTGATTGCAGTTCCTTTTGAACAGAGCGTATGCGTAGAGATCACGTGATCCTAATAAACATTCACGGAAAGAGGGCGTTACAGTCAATTGCACTTCCGGTCGAACATTCCGTGTGGAGTGAGCATCTTTCTGTGAATGTGTTTATTAGGATCACGTGATCCCCACGCATACGCACTGTTCAAACGGAACTGCAATCGAAAGTACTAGAATGCGGATCAGTGTGGATTGCTGCAGATCGTTCCGTACGCTGAACCAAGCACGTGAACGCGCGGAACGTGCATGGACGTGTGCCTAGAATGCGGATCAACTCCCAAGAATTCAGAATATACACCATAACTTCCCGTGGATCTGCCCTCTTGTTCTTCTATTCCATTCAATCTTTATTTGTTGCAATGTTTGACTCTTTATAAAGTAAAAATAACTATTTTTAACTGTAATAATTTTAAACTTTGAATGTACGAGATTTCAGTGATCATATCAAAAGCCTTCAGTCATTGGTCATAGAATAAATTATATATACTGCATCTAGATCTAGTTGCAATGAAATGAGTTACAATCTGCATTGAAAACAAACATATAGTTGTAAAATTTAAACAATGAAAGTGGCCTCACAAATAACAATTAATTTCATTGTGTAAAAATGATTATTATGATATTACCAAAAATATAAAATATTCTATTGGCCAAAAATTGCTACCACCTAGCTATATCATTTTACCTCACAAAGATATTTTCATTTGTATTGGGATGCATGTACAAATAGAGTTTTAAAAATAAGGTTTTTCAAGTTGTGGATTGCTGCATGCTTCATATCAAGAGTACTGTATCTTGCTTAATTGCTTCATAGCTATGTCAGTAGTATATCCGAAATTTTGTCAGAATAGATACAACTCAGTTTAACAAGAGTACATAAATACTCTTGGTCAATAAATGATGGAGTTAGTGTTGTTTTAGTATGAATCATTATTCCGTGATTCTAGTTGCAGTACTAAAAATATTAATTAATTATTATAGATGTATTTTTACTAATACTTAAACTAGTTTTTTTTAATTTTACATTACTATCTTTATTGCTTGCTTTTAAAAATATCTACAGGATTAGAGGGGAGTTATAATAATTTTAAGCTTGATATGTAGGAAACATGACTCTGAAAGTAAGTCAAAAAAATATATCTTATGCTCTGCATTAATTGGCAACTATCTAGAGTTGGGTCAACTTGAATTTTGTTAGCTACTTTTCATACTGTTCATTGATAATTGCTAAAACTGAATTATCTTAGTTCCTTGAGCAACTTTTAAGAGATAATGATATCAGCCACTGATGTAAAGATTTGCTATCAGTCTAAGTTGCTTATAAAAGCATTATAGACACTTACATTAAATATCTTAATGCCACAATCAGAGCAGTATTTGTAATTACGTAAAAGAAATACTTTCAAATAAAAATGATAGGTGGTAACAATTTTTGGCCAATAGAATATTTTATATTTTTGGTAATATCATAATAATCATTTTTACACAATGAAAATAATTGTTATTTGTGAGGCAACTTTTCAGTATTGTTTAAATTTTACAACTATAATGTTGTTTTTAATGCAGATTTTAACTCATTTCATTGCAACTAGATCTAGATGCAGTATAATCTATTCTATGACCAATGACTGAAGGCTTTTGATATCATCACTGAAATCTCGTACATTCAAAGTTTGAAATTATTAAAGTTAAAAATAGTTATTTTTGCTTTATAAAGAGTTAAACATTGCAACAAATAAAGATTGAATGGAATAGAAGAACAAGAGGACTGATCCGCGGGAAGTTATGGTGTATATTACAAATTCTTGGGAGTTGATCCGCATTCTAGGCACACGCCCGTGCACGTTCCGCGCGTTCACGTGCTTGGTTCAGCGTGCGGAACGATCTGCAGCAATCCGCACTGATCCGCATTCTACAGCGTCTTTCACTTCACTTGGATCACATTTTCCGTTCCGTATCCACACCTACCTGTACTTTTAATTAGGAAAGAGGGAGTGTCTGGCATACGGAAAGGTTGTTCCATGATCCAAGTGAGCTGAAAGACGCTGTACTGTTGATTGCTGTTCCGTTCGAATGGAGCGTGCTGCGTGAGTATCTTTCCGTGAATGTGTTTATTAGGATCATGTGATCCTCACGCATACGCACTGGGTGACGCATTTTCGAACGGAACTGCAATCAACAGTAGTAACGCCCAATGGGCGTTACTAGAATGCAGATCAGTGCGGATTGCTATGGATTGTTCCGCACGCAGAACCAAGCACGTGAATACGGAAGCCGAAAGCGACATTCCAGTTCACGTTCACGTTGGGCGTTACTAGAATGCGGATCAGTGCGGATTGCTGCGGATCGTTCCGCACGCTGAACCAAGCACGTGAACGCGCGGAACGTGCACGGGCGTGTGCCTAGAATGCGGATCAACTCCCAAGAATTCAGAATATACACCATAACTTCCCGTGGATCAGTCCTCTTGTTCTTCTATTCCATTCAATCTTTATTTGTTGCAATGTTTAACTCTTTATAAAGTAAAAATAACTATTTTTAACTGTAATAATTTTAAACTTTGAATGTACGAGATTTCAGTGATTGGTCATAGAATAGATTATACTGCATCTAGATCTAGTTGCAATGAAATGAGTTACAATCTGCATTAAAAACAAACATATAGTTGTAAAATTTAAACAATAAAAGTCGCCTCACAAATAACAATTATTTTCATTGTGTAAAAATGATTATTATGATATTACCAAAAATATTCTATTGGCCAAAAATTGCTCCCACCTATCATTTTTATTTGAAAGTATTCCTTTTACATAATTACAAATACTGCTCTGATTGCATTAAGATATTTAATGTACATAAGTGTTTATAATGCTTTTATAAGCAACTTATACTGATAGCAAATCTTTACATCAGTGGCTGATATCC